ATTGCACAGTCTATGGTATTTTTTATAGCATCACAAATGGACTAAGACACCCATCAAAAGGAAGATGCATTATCGTTGGTTCTGAGAAAGATACAGGTGAAGATGTGAGTGTGCGTAAGACATCACTTAATGGTCAGCGCTCCAAAAATTAAATTCAGCAATCAGAAAGAAAGGGAAGCCCCTGGGAACTGTATTTTAAATTTAGAAATAAGAATTAAAGGAAAAGAGAGTGCCTGGGGAAACCATGGTACAGTTTTAAAAGTGAATATACCACAGAAAGCTTAGCAACTACTACCCCTCTTAGTAGCATCCTGATGTACAAGTGTGCTGAGGGCTAGGTGTGGGTGTCCCTTGGTAAGAAGCCTGGTTTGCCTGATTAGAAAAGTCATAGGCGTTAGAACAGGGAATGGACACATAGCTTAGGAGAAGAGAACAAGGAGCCTGCAAGGTTAGACGAAAACACAAGAGAAGATATCCCCAAAAGTACCCTGCCTTGCCAGGAACCAAAACCAAAGAAATGATCATTGGCACAGACTGCTGGCACTAGAATGGCTTGGGGCTTGCCTTAGGATGAATGGGAGTTAGAAGCAAATCCAAGAAAAGAACTTGGGTGTACTGTACTTCATTCACTGTATCAAGAGACTACGTGGGCCAGGGAAGCCGGCCAACAGGATCACTTGCTGGTCATGGTGCAAAAGGTCTGTTGAGGAACAAGAGAAACAGAACATACTCTGAGCCGTGCTCTTTATTCCTGATTTGTCTTTGGGGGAGGCAATTTGCAGCACTAAATGAAATGGCAAATGTACATGATGTTCCAATCCAAGTTGACTAAATAAGTGGATGTTGATGAATCACCAGGACCAGATGGCATCTACCCAGATTTTGGGTAAAATTATGTAACAGCTGACCAATGTGTATAGCCTGTCATTCCAAATAGCTATTGTGCCATGAGCCTGGCAGATTGGTAATAAGTCTCCTCTCTATGAGAAGCATTTTGAAGGGGCCCAAGGAACTTCAGGCTGGTAGGGTCACTGATCAGGTTAGGCAAATGGAACACTGGAGGCAAGGCATCATTTTTCCTATAAATTAAATTAACTATCTTTTATAAAATGTCTTACAATTTTTATAGAGCACTGAGGGTTATTTATACATAGCACACTGAGTAGAATTCTTTGAGAGGACCAATGTGCATGTGGAGAAAGGGAAACCAAGGATGTAATCTATTTTGTTTAATAAGGAAATTCATCCTGGAATTGTGGAGCTGTTTTGAAATGGATCAGGATGTAGCGCGTAGGCAGGAAATAAACATTAGTGTGTTGCAGGGTCAGTGCTGGGACTAGTTAACATTTTGGTGAATCATCTTGACATCCTTCTGGTTTTCTAGGTTTAGGCTGAGCATCCCTCATCCAAAATGCTTAGGGTCAGAACTGTTTCAGATTGTGAAATTTTTCAGATTATGGAATATTTGTATAGACTTTACTGGTTGAGCATCTGTAATCTAAAAACTCAAAATCTGAAATGCCCCAAAATCCAAAACTTTTTCAGCATTTTGCTGGCACACAGTTTTCAATTTCATAGGATTCTGGATTTCAGATTTTGAGATTAGGGCTGCTCAACGTGTAGCCAAGTGTAAAGCTGACTTCAGTCTCTTTATGACTGTATTGATGAGCAGAGAAAAGAGGAGTCTGAGTAGACTTGTTCAAGGAGTAGCCTCTGCAAGCTGACTGCCTGACTCTACCCTTAGTGACTGTATGGGTTTAAGCAGGTCACTCTACCTCTTCTAGTATCAGTTTCCTCATATGTAAAAGGAGGATAATAATAATAATACCAGTTCAGAGTGTTATGAAATATGAGACAACGTATGCAAAGTTTTGGCATAGTGTTTGGATCATAAGTGTCCATTAAAAAATTAGCTTCTATTGTTTTTACTTATGTTTATTCAACATTCTTCAAATAGGATGTTAGGATCTGGGTGATCCGTTATGCCCTATGAAACCCAGAAGCCATTACAGACCCTTTTTGAAAGCACTAGCCAAATTTATATTAGTTAACTCAGATTTTTTTTTTACAACCAGCAATGATTTCATGGGGGGAAGCTAACAATTATGGAGAAGTACCAAATGCTAGTATATGCTAGATATTGGGCTAGATGCTTTATAAACTTTCCCTTAGTTATACTTCTGCAATAGATCTGTGAGGTTGGGGTTATGATCCCATATTATGATGAGGGAATGAAGACTTAGAAGAGGGGGCTAAGAAAATTGCCTCGGGTCATGTCAGCTCATAAGAAGTAGAGTCAGAATTCAAATACAAGCTCCTACTCTAAAACCTATTTTCTTTGCACTACATCATACTTGAATTGCACTTTGCCGAATAGGTTCAATTTGAGGAGAAAGAAAAGAGGTTTATCTGTTATCAAAATAAACATGGTCGATGGCATGAAGATAGAAAGCAGAACACTGTGTTTATGGGGTTCATGGGACAGAACCATGGATTTTTTTTTTCACCAAAGTAGAGTGTTCTTGTGGGGCTAATGGTAAAGCCAGAAGGAAGGTTTAGGCTAGACCAGAAGCTCTGTCAGAACTCTGCTAATGATCTGAACTTTATCCTCAAGGCAACGGGGACGGGATGAAGGCAGTTGAGCTAGTGAGAGGTATGAGATGCTTTAGAAAGATTAACCTGGCATCTGTGCATGATGAATTGATGGAATCTTCTGCCTGGTCCCTGATTCTTTGTTCTCTAATCTGCTAGCCTAAGGCTCTCAATACCCCTGCCTTAGCCTAGAAACCACTTAGGATTTCATTGCAGTAGCATATGCAGGAGACGGGGAGGAAGGAAAAGAAAGGAAGCAGTGACAGAAACAGAAAAAATGACAAAGAAAGAATCAACAGGGATTTGGATCGCAACTTGTATATGACGGACAAGGTAGAAGGAAGAAGCAAAGGTGACTTTAGTTTAAGCCCCAGTGACAGGGAGAATGATGGTGGCGTTAGGAAAATAAGGCTATCCAGGGCGAAGCAGTTCTAATTGGTCAAATGAGAAATCTGACTTACAGAACATCAACTCTGAGGTGATGGTGGGAAAACCAGATTGGGGGAGTGGGTGAAGGAAAATGGTAAAGGGGGTGTATTCAAGTATGATATATTATAAGACCTTTTTCAAATGCCACAATGTACTCCCAGCACAACAATAAAAAAAAAAACTCAAGCTGAGAATAGAAGGAAATAAAGTACATCTACAAAAATTAAGAATAAACTGGATAATCAATGTTAAAAAAATAAGCAGGTGGAGGGGCAAGATGTAGCATAGGAGGGTGGTTATGATTTGTGGTAACAATTTTATAACTTTTCCCTATAGTGGAACAGTAGTTAAATATTATTTATTGTAGTATTATCCACAATAACCAAGAAGTGGAAGCAACCTAAATGCGCACTGATGGAGGAGTGGACAAAGAAATTGTGATACATACAATGGGGTATTATTGAGCTTAAGAAGGAAGGAAACCCTGCCATATGGAAAACATGGAGGAAGCTTGAGGACTTTATGCTAGGTGAAATCAACCGATCATAGGATGACAAATAGTGCATGCTTCTACTTTATAGGAGGAATCTAAAAAGCAGGTAAACTCATGGAAACCTGGAAGTAACATGGTGGTTCCCAAGGGCTGTAGAAGGGGGAAATGATCTGCTTTGCAATGGGCATAGAGTGTTAGTCATGCAAGGTAAAATGTTCCAGAGATCTGCTGTTCAACAATGTAAATACAATGAACAATATTGTATGTACACTTCAGAGTTTGTTAAGAGGGTAGGTTTCATGTTACATGTTTTTATCCCACAAAAAAGAACTTAAATTATTAAAAAAAATAGTTGAAAGAAGAAAAGTAGATGTGTGTTCTCTTTAGAGAAGAGGGAAAAGAGAGAGGCTTAAGAAGAGATCTCTGGATGATAGCCATTTTCAAGGTAGGCTTAGGAAGAAGAGATAGTGAAAGGAAGAGGCTACAAGAGAAACAGGAACGTGTACCACCTCAGGGGCCATGGGCACCCGGGTTTCAGGCAGAAGGCTGTGCACTGCCAAGAAAAGAGCATGGTAATGAATGTCTCAAGACCCCTGTTAGGTTTCTAATTCTTCCATTTGGAGCAATGTCATTCCTTCCCCAGCCCCAGTTTTCTTTTATTCATATGTGCATACAATGTTTGGGCCATTTCTACCCACCCCCTGCACCCTCCCTCTCCCTCCTTACTCACTCGCTTCCAGGCAGAAACTGTTTTGCCCTTATCTCTAATTTTGTTGAAGAGAGTATAAACAATAATAAGAAGGACAAAGCATTTAACTGCATAATGGAAGAACACCTATCAATATGAAAGGACTTTATAAACTGGGATAAGCAACACAAATGTAAGGGGAATTTTGTTATTGCTTTGCAAAAATATCCCTCTGTTATTTTTTTCTGTCATTGCTGCTGTTTTTTATGTAGCTCTGTAGGGCTGGGTCACAGTCTATCTCTGTCAGACTGCTTGTAAGAAAAGGGAGAATACTGGAGGGGATAAAGCAAACCGGTACACTGTATGCATATATGGAAACATCACAACAAAACCCCCTTATAAAACGCTTGAAAAATAGAAAACAAAATAGTCATAACATTTGAACAGAGGGTTAGCAAATAGCTCTTCCTTTGAAAGTTATCTCATCATTGGTTTTCACAGGACTGCCAAGGTTGCGTTTTTTTGTGTTTTTTTTTTATAACAAACCAATGTGCACTGAGACACAGAACCAACTGATGGTCCAGTTCATTTTTAGGCAATGAAAAGCAGGAAGTTAGCATTCTAATCTACCTAGGGCCAGAGATAAAGTCTTTGCTCTTTGAGAGTACAGTGTTTCCTTTAGGAGTTAATGGTATTATGTGTTGCAAGGGTTTTAGGGGAAGGGCAGAGAAAATTCAATTGGTTAATTCCTGAGCATAACCATTTTTAGCCCAGCTTTGAGTTACCACAATCGGTTACCTGCGAGGAAGCGCAGCTGATTCTTCACTTTCATCACCCCATCACCAGACCCTCCAATGCATTCATCTTCGTCATCACCACAGTCTCCACTTTCAAGCCCTTCTTCATCCGGGTTTCTATCCAGAACTCTACCTTTGGGCACAGACATGGTTCTCAGGAGCTGAAAGAAATAACCAGAAATGCAGCAGCTCTTCTTATTTTTCAGGTAGGTCTAGAACAGTGTATTACTAACCAGAGGCATTAAATTTGTTTTCACCTGGGTGCAGTGGTAAGTGCCTGTAGACCCAGCTACTTGGGAAGTTAAGGCAGAACGATACCTTGACCTCAGGAGTTTAAGACCAGCCAGGGCACCATGTGAGACATCATCACAAAAAAGTCATTTTTAAATTTAAATAAGTACTTTTTAGAGCCTTATACTTCTGGACTTTCCACAGCATTTAATGATTCATTTCTTCACACAGAGTACTTAACTGCGTTAGACTGTCCCCTGCCATGGTATCTTAGTTTCTGGAAGTTTCTGTGGTAGGAGAACATGCTAATGGAGTACTTAAGACATGATAAGCAAAGAATGGATATAGGCTAGGGAGACACCAGATCAGACAAAAGATCCCTGTGGAAGTCCCCTAAAACCATATTTATATCTGCTAATTAAAATAACAAACACTTCTCATGGAATGAAGAGTCTAGCAGTGCTTATTTCAAATGACTACTTGTGGGCTGGGATGTAGCTCAATGGTAGAACACTTGCCTTATATGCACAAGGCCCTGGGTTTGATACCCAGCACCAAAAAAGAAAAGAGAAAAAAAAACCTTGTAATTGTCACATCTCATGTCTTGATCACTAAAAAACTTTGAAATACTTCCCTCTCCCACAGTTTCAGTAAGATGCTTTTAAATTCATTTTGCTTTACTGGAGACAATATGCTTACTAAAAGAAATGTTTGGCTTTTCAGTCACATGCCTAATTTTATGGGGCTCCCACTACCCCAAAGTCTCTTTGACCCAGAGACCCAAGCTTGCAGCATGAATGGTCCTTGAGGGCAGTTGTCAGGCTCCATTTTACTTTTCCTCAGCATATCTTTCCAAGGTTTCACTTTAATATCCTTTATTCCTGCTAGCTTTTGCCCCATAACCCATTTCAGCTCCTAAACCTCAGTCCTATTCTTTATCTTTAAATGACAGTCAACAAAAGGTGCTAGATATACAGAAGCTAAGATTCTTGTGATTGTAGAAAAGGTAGCCAGAAAAAAGTGCTGCATACACAGGCATTCTTGGTGTCTGTGGTCTCCATTGTCTCTGTGCTTATTGTCACTGTGAAGTATACTTTTATGTTTTCCACCTGTGATTTAGCTGCTACACCAAGATCTACTTAGAGAAAGCTACATACCACAGAGAAATGTAACTCTGTGGGTGATTTGTTTTTAAGCAAAGAAAGAAAAAAGCCCAAAAAAGTTCATGCCTGGCAACAACCTTAATGGTTTTAAGACAACTCCCTACAATCTCCCACTATAGCACTGTCTCTACTCTGCCCTTCTAGTGCTTCCCTCTCTAACCTTCCTACCTCCCCTCCACCTCATCCTACATGTATAAATTTATAGTATTTTAATATAGGCTAAGAGAATTGCCTAAATATAGCTTAATATAGGCTAAGGTAAATATAAGCTAGACGAGCAGTTCTCAAACTTTTTGACCTCAGGATTTCTTTACTTTATTTTTGGTGCTGGGGATGGAACCCTGGGCCTTGAACATGCCAAATACGCACTCTGCCACTGAGTCAGAGCCCAGCCACCCAAGACTCCTTTATACTTTTACTAAGAAACCCAGAATTTTTTTATACAAGTTTTTCTGTGGTGCTGCAGTTTGAACTCAGAGCCTTCTGCTTGTGAGGCAGGTGCTCTATTTGAGCCCCCCAGCCTTTTATACAAGTTTTATCTCTCAACATTTGTCATCTTAGAAATCATAACTTGAGAAATTTTAAAAAATAATTATTTGATAGCTCATCTAAATATAACAAACCCATGATTAACACAAACATCATAAAATAAAAAATAAACAGATTTTCCCAGACATAAACCAATTAGTGGGAATGTCTAGCAACATGGCAGATCAGAAACATGCACCATTTTGACTCTGCATTAGAAGAGTCAGGTAACACAACAGAGGCTATATTCAAGAGAGCAAGAGAGGAAGAGCATCAGGAATCATGAAATAGGTGGCAGGACTACAGAAAAGCACGGTGAAACAGAGGAAACAGAGAAAAGAAGCAAGCAGTTCCAAGGCCCCTCCTCAGCTCCCCAGGAGGGCTTCTAAAGGGAACCTAAAAATGTAATCATAAAGTAAGTCAGATGGCCTTGGAGAGAGACTGGCAATTCTAGTTGCATGATAAGCCTGCAAGCCTTTCCAGTATTTTTTTTTCTACAGTACTGGGGTTTGAACTCATACTTGCTAGGCAGGCACTCTACAACTTGAACCACTTTGCCAGCAAGCCTTAAACTCAGTGCAGGGGTTTGGTAAGACAATGACTGCTTCAATATGGAAGGCCAGCCTTGGTGAAGAAAGACATTCTGTCACTCCCCTCATCTCTGAGAGTTATAGCAAGATGCCATCTTGAGGGAGGGCCTATTGTTTGAGACTGAGCTATTCTGGGGGTGTGAAAATAAGGAACAATCATGACTCAGGAAGTCTTGGACACTCTGTCACAGTGTCCAAACAGAAGATGGCCATGAGAAGTGATCTGTGGAGAGTGAGAGTGTCTGATGTGGTCCTGCAGAGAAGTTCCAACAGTGGGCAACTACAGCAGCAAAGGACATGGTGCTTGAAGGTTTGCTTGGCCCTCCCTGGCAAGGAGGAATTCCCATCATGTAGGGCTGTGGTGGAATCAAAGCACCAAGAATATGACTGGCATAGTGTTCAGCCTCCAGGATATGTCTCCTGGCTGCATGTGTTGGCTGCTAGATGGGTCAGAGGGCCCTGAGCCTGGACCTTGTGAACCATATGACATCCACAGCAGCCCTTCCACAGGGAGATGAACTGCTTGCTGGGAAGGGTCTGAAAGCACTGAGACAGCCTCCAAGAACTGTGTGCCATCATGTGTTTGCTGTCAGGCAGGTCTGAGCCCAGGTCTTCTGAATCATGTGATTTCTACAGCCTCCCCACCTCCACATGAAGGTGAAGTGCTAGGAAAGTTGTGAAAGCACTAAAGCCTACTTCCAGGAATGACATCTCAATGTGTGTCAGGTCTGAAAACCTGGATCCCAGACCTGTTGAACCATGTGACTTCCATAGCTTCCTCCGCCCCCACAGGGAAGTGAACTGCTGAGTGGGATCTAAAGCACCAAGACCTGCCTCTAGGAACTGCATCCTGGTTTATGTTTGCTGCCAGGCAGGACTGAGGGCCCCGAGTTCAGACCCTCTGAATCACAAGACTTTCTTTCACAATAGGGAGGTGAGAGGGACTGTAAGTATTGAGATCAATAGGCAGAGTATTTAGGTCCCTCAGTTCTCCCCTTGCCAGTGCAGAATTCAGTACTGAACTTGGCCTTAGAGCACAAACCTCAACACAGAAACACAAGAAATATGAAGAAACAAGGCAACATAACTCCTCTCAAACTCAACAATCCCACTGTAACAAACACTGATAGCGAAGTGCACGAATAAAAAAAAAAAAAGCTCTGAAGAAACGAACAATAGAAGGAATATACCTCAATATAACATAAACCTATAGCCAACGTCATACTAAATGGGGGAAAACTGAAATCATTTCCTCTAAAGTCAGGAACGAGACAAGTGTTCACTCTCTCTGCTCGTACTGAATATAGTGTTTAAATTATTAGCCAGAGCAATTAGGGAAGAGAAAGACAAAGGATACAAATAGGAAAGAAAGAAGTCAAATTATCCTTATTTACAGATGATACTATCCTATACTTAAAAGACCCTAAAAACTCCACCAAAAAAAAGTTTTTCTCTCCAACAAATACTTTTGCCAAAGTAGCAGCGTACTAAATTAGCACATAAAAATCAGTAGCTTCTCTATATATGAATAATGAACAGGCTAAGAAAGAAACCAAGCAAACAATCTCATTTACAATAGCTTCAAAACAAAAAAACCCAGTAATAAACTTAACAAAGGATGTGAAAAACCTTTACAATGAAAACTATAAAATCTTAAAGAAAGAAACTGAAGAAGACACTAAAAGATGGAAAGACCTCCCATGTTCATGGATTGCGGAATTAATATTGTGAAAATGTTATACTACTGAAGGCAATCTACAGATTCAATGCAATCTCCATAAAAATTCAAATGTCATTTTTCACAGAAATAGAAAAATCAATTCTAAAATTCATATGGAAGTACAAAAGCCAAATAGCCAAAGCGATTCTGAGCAAAAAGAACAATGCTGAAGGTATCACAATACCTGACTTTAAATTATACTACAGAGTCATACTAGCATAAACAGCCTGGTACTGGCACAAAGACAGCCACTTAGACCAATGGAATTACAGAAATAACCCCACAGAGTTACAGCCGTGTGAAATTAAACACAGCACCAAAAACACATGTTGGAGAAAAGACAGCTTCTTTGCAAATGCTGCTGGGAAAACTGGACATCCACAAGTAGAAGGCTGAAACTAGACTATCTGTTACCCTGTACAAAATTAATTCAAAATGGGTCAAAGATTTAAATGTAAGACCTAAAACTTTGAAAGTACTAGGGGAAGACATAGAAAGACCATATGAAGATATAGGGATAGGCGATACCTTTCTGAATAGGACTGTGATTACTCAGGAAATAAGAGCAAGAATTGTGGAATGGGATTGTATCAAATTGAAAATCTTCTGCACAGCAAAGGAAACAGTGACCAGAATCAAGAGACAACTTACTGAATAGGATACAACCTTTGCCAGCTATTCATTAGCTAAAGAGTTAATATCCAGAATATGTAAAGAGCTCCAAAAATTAAACACAGAAAGAACAAGCCATCCAATTCATAAATGGGCTAATGTATTAGTTCTTAAAAGAAGTACAAATGGATAATAAATACATAAAGAAATTTCAACATCCTTAGCCATAAAGGAAATGCAAATCAATACCACATAGTGATTCTATCTCACCCAGTCAGAATGGCTGTCATCAAGAAAACAAAAAACAACAAATGATG